CCAACAAGTCCAAAGACCATTCAAAGACCATTCGATCAAATGGAACCCAGTAACTGGTATTTTACATCCTTAAGGTGTGTTTGGGTCATGACCACGTCTGGTAAAATGAGGTCATTGGCCTGTAGGGAACCCAGTCCTAGCGTATAGGGCTCCAGTCCTAGCTCCATTTCGGTGGCTTGGGGTGGATGGGTGAGCTTGGAGTGTCTAACTACCTTCTAGGGATGGGGTTGGAGGTGTAGGGCACCTGTAATTCAGTGGGCTTGACTTGGAGACTTCCCAGCACCGCCGCTGCAATGAAATGCCCAAGAAGGGGGGTCACAAATGCATCCCAGAGCATCAGGCAGGAAGCCAATTTCCGCAGAAACAGTTCTATTGCCTTGAGTGATTTCTCAACTCTCCCCCACTGCCCCCACTTCGTCTTTTCACACATGCTCCAGCCCCTGCCAGCTCCGCTGGGATCCTCCAGCCGAGTTGCTGGGATCGAACTGGATCTTCTGCCCCGCCTCTCCTGGGAGCGCGGTGGGAGCACGGCGGCTGGGAGCGCGGCGCGGCTGTTCGAAGAAACCGCGCGGTCAAGCAAAGACTGGGGCCGCGGATTGAACACACAAGTTGGAATGGGGCGTGTATTTGAGAGGGGGTGCTCCAGGTGTTTGTCCATTTTGGGTCGCAAACTTTGATGCACATCCACATCGAGAAGCACCATAACAAGAAGGGAAACAACATAGGTTCTTGCCCGGTCCTGCCTTAAATGTCAACATGATCCCTGAAACACCACATGTTGACATCATTTACCTTGAACCCTCTTGGACACGATGATCTCTGAAACACCTTGACCCTGCAATCGGTGGATAGGACCCGAGGCAATCCCAACTTGGATTTGCTTCAGGGCCTCACTGGAAGGCATTCCTAAACCATGAGACCATGTGGTTATACCGAATCAACGGCACAGCGTTTACTTCCCCATGAAAAAATCATTAAAATTTGAGCGGTAGCTCCAGGAATACTCCTGGCCTAACCTCAAGAAGGAAGTCCCAAGTGCCAAGAATAGCTTATCACCTTAGCAAAACGACCGTGCAGCCAAGCTGGATGGCGAATCATGAATCATACTGACTCCCGTTCGCCGCAAAACCCGAGAAAACACACAGGTTTGCCCGAACTGGTCCGCCTGTTTGCACCCATCCTGCCCTGTCCGCTCAGGCGACACTGCAGACACACTGGTCGTGGCAGTGGAAAATAAAGAAACAGAACCCCAATGAAGGAACCGCAAAGCGAATTAGCATCCACATCACGAACACGAAAACAAAGGAAATTGCAAAGTTTTCAGCGTGCGAGCACCACCCTCAAGAATAAGCCCAGCAAATTTGTTCAACTCATGTGTAGCAAAAAGAGGACGAGCACCCTGAATGACCCGGATACCATGTATGTCTTGGAAGCTTTCCTACCAAATCGAAAGCAGCCTTCAGCTGCTTTACCATGTCAGCAAGCGTTTTACCGTCAGAAACACACTGCAGGGTGAATTTCCGAGTGACGAAGAGAAAGCCGATCTCAACATAGGCAACCGAATCCTGTGCAGCATCCCTCATAGGGTTTGTTCCCAGTGGGGGTACAAAATCACCCAAAAGGATGTTCAAGGTTATCCATTAACTGGCTCATAGTCCCATAGTCCCATTTACGCCAAGTCTCCCTTGTACAAGGGCATCTCTCCATGTGCGCCCATACGCTCATACTTTCCAGCCACCCGCGCAGGGCCAGTCACTCGCACCGCATAAGACCTGATGGGCGAGCGCAGACCACGGAAGAGCGAGGTGGTTCTGGGGCGAGGCAAGGGATCAACATCAGTTATATACGTTATTTTATAGATTATAAATGATTCCATTAGATGTTTGTAGTCTGAATATACCGGGACGTTGGAAATATTATATAAATATTAGCACGTGCCAACCTAAGGTGGCAAATGTCCTGGACACTTCAGCTATCTTCAGCTGTTTCGTGCAGGACGGCCTCAACTGGTCTCTATAGTTGGCGCGGTCGACGTTGCCGCAAGAAGGAGCTTAATATTCTTGCACCCGGTCCAGATGGTGAGGGCTCGGTATATGTGTTTAATTGTGTTTATGTCAACCGTCCGTCCTTGGATTTGCATCGTGGACCATTCAACCACATTCAACTACCCCCCTTCAAGTCACTTGAGCCCACAGCAACTAGAATAGAAACATATAACTTATTCATCATCTGAGCTGTTCGAAAAAGAACACATGTACATTGGATTAGGAGAATTTTCACGATCTTTTCAGCCAACATGACCAGGCTCGCACCTGTTGGTTCCTCCTGATGTCTCTTTCTCATCCATCCGATGGCTCCGATGGCTCCTCCGCCGCTCCCGCTGGCCTCTGAGTCTTGGGCACTTCGCGATACTTGCCTCGCTCGTTCGAGCCACGGGCTTCGACGGATCCGGCTCCAGATCCCGCGGTGCACACGGGCGGGGTGGTGAATGGACGACACCCCGGGCCCCGGGCCCTCCTCATAAGGGCTATAGGATTCAACACCCCCAACCAGGGCGTGGTGAAATAGATATGGCTCAAAATGAGGATCACCCCCCCCAAAGCCAGTTTGTCAAACAACTCCAACGATTCCGAAGCGGATTTGTTCTGCATATACTCGCAAGATGTGAACCAAACACACTACACCAACTCCGCCCCAACCACACTCGAAATGGCATACAATCTTGAACTTCTTAGTGTTCAACCCCCTCTCATCAGCAATTCACTCCCACAAAAAGCCTCCATGGACCAAAAACGCGGAGTTCAAAACGTCCCAAGAGCTCCAAAGACATTCCTGCTGGCTGCCCACTGCATTCACTCCTCCTCTGGTGCCCCGGCTGGCCGCCACCAAGCGTTGCACGTGTTTCTTCAGGTTCACTTCCCCATGGATCTGCACCTCCTGGAAACACAGAACCAGACTGGCCACGTGAAGCGGACGGCGAAGGGGCCTGGGTGAAGGATGGTGAAGGGGTTCAATGATGTGCTGCAGGCATATATGCCGGGGATCCATCGAATCTCTGGGATATGTTTTGTTGCCCCCCTTCGGTGGGTCTCTTTGACCCGTTCTTGCACACAGCGGTATGCTCAGCGTTAATGCTGCAGCCTCGACTCTTTGGAAGGGGTTTGCGAATTTTGTATTTATACCGGATTTGGTATATATCTTCATATATCATATATCCCAATATATCTTATACCCTAGGGCTCCAAACACATCCTTAGAAGGTACAGTAGCTGGACAATCCCAAAACCCCCCCCCCCCCCAACCACCAAACCGAAGCAAAGATAGTTGGAGTTGGAGCCCCTAAAGATAAGGGACCTCTACAGCACAGGAAACCCATGGTTGTGGGAGTGAATGCCATGGCGTCCTGTAGATGTTCCCTTGCACAAATCAATAAACATATAATCCAGGACCCTCCAACAGGTGTCTATGTATAGCCCCTTAGCTGTTAAGGGGTGTCCATTAACCACCCCTTGGGGGTCCAGGTCCTGGATCATCTTTCGCTTCCTTTTGCTGGACCCAGTTTCCGCGCAGAATCCCAACCACCATCTTGAACCCTTTTGATATCAGGTCTAGACCGGAGTGCCTGGTCTAGACCGGAGTGCATGGTCGAGCTCGGCCCGTGATTGACGGCCCATCACCCCACATGGGTCCAAGTCGAGCACCCGTCTTGTGGCAGCAATGAACAGTCCATCAGGACCATTTGGTCTGGGGTCGGGTAATCCATCCGACTGGGCTTCACTCTAGCACCACTGTGATGACTTCCGGCTGTGGGGAGACTGTCACCAGGAAGGTCAACCGGTTGACCTACCTGGCGCCGGTGGACCTACCTGATGTCGGTGGAACATGGTGGGTCACGATAGCGCCATCTGTTCACCAATCCGCAATGGACCAGTGAACCAGCCTGGGGTACCATCCTTTCGCTGTCCGTTTGGCGACCCATCTCACCAACGGGTGGTGTGGTCCCAACACGAGCATGCAAGGAACGAACGGGTGCGAGCGAACGGCCATCTAACAAAAATACTCCTTACCAGCAGTCACAAGACGAGGTGCGATCCATGGAGGTTTAGGGTGCCCGGCTACTCTACTCACTTAGGGACTAAACACCACCCCTTTGTGACTCCTGGTATATCTCCTTATAGAGATCCAAATAATACCTTGCCGCAGTCGTACAAAAGCCGCGTTGGGCGACCGAGCGACCTGTTCTAAAGTTGTGCTCCGAAGGTACTCAATCACCTTCTCAGAGTATGTAGATTCATAGGGTTCAACCACTTCTAAGGATTCTAAGGCCATTTGGGCAAGGCCGTGCCCCGGCAAGCCGCAGCCGCAGCCCTGAAATCTTGATTTTGGTGAGCACATGCGAGGCAGGAAGCATCCTGCAGGTCGCTCTGACCTACAAAATTACGGATTTGGTGAGGTTGCTTTGGGCATCTTTCGGATTTTGACTCTCCTCCGACAAAGAAATTGAGCGTCTTGGGTGGAATCCTCCAAGAACTTTGCTAAGTATCCAAGTCAGTGTCAGTGTGAAAGCCACCAGCAGGGATATTCAACCCACACCCACAGGAATGGTTTGTTGAAGGACATTCCAAGGTCAACCTCACTTGGGACACATGTGCTGGTCGGCCAATACCTCAAAAACCACCTGCAATCCCCCTTGGGTCGATCCCCACCGCTTGGGTCGATCTGAAAATCATCTGATCGAAGATAATTGGAGGTGCCACTGAGATCGTTATTGATCGCTCCAGCAACCTCATGGCGCACTCGTTGAGTGGCTTCGCCACATGCGAACGAGAGCGGTTCAACCATAGATGGTAGCTTTCTACAGGGGAAGCTGCTGCAAAGCACTCTAAGTATATAAAGTTCCGCGTCTATAGGCTTTAGCTCTTACATACTCTTACCAAACTTCCAAAACTTCCAACTTCGGATCAGGATCCCTAGTCTGATCCCTTCAGTTGCTCTTACGTGGGCTAACCTACCTTCCAAACGCTGCATGCCCGCAAATCCCCGCAAAATGTGATCGGACGGATGCCACATCAGCTCGGAGCATGCTGTTGCCAGCGCTGCGTGTCCGACCAAGGCCCGGCTGCGTGTAGCAGCTTGCCTGACACCGCAGCAGCTTGCTGTGTCCTTTGACACGTGGAAAACTTGGGTCATCCTCGATCGTCGTTGGGTCTTCCAAAGGGCGATGGGGTGCGAATGCATCCGCCACACCTGAGGCGAACGGGCCATCCATGGAGGAAGCCCACGAGCGGCGAGCCATCCATCAAAGAGGTAAACTTGCTTTTCCACCATTCTCATGGCCCGCGTGGATGGGAAAATGGTCCCCTTGGATGACCATGAAATCCGAATAGGCCAACAGGTGGTTTTCCCATGGTATCGACGTAGCCGTGATTGCTCCAAAAAGATCCAAAAAGTGTGCCCGTATTACATGTTCTCCTTTCAATGCTAGTGCTGTGCTCGGATGCCCCTCAGCCGAGACCAGCTCCTCTAAACCAGAAGTTCCACGCTGTTGGGTGCCACCAGGGTTTAGGCTGTTTGGGTACCCAAGATCCACCATTGTATAATCCATTCACAGATTCAAAAGCATTCTGTATGGTTCTTTTGGAACGGCTGGAGCCACTTGTCAGATCCCAACAAACCATCCAGCTTCTTCACCCTGACGCCACCCACTTCACAGTGAAGCTCTCCGTGGCCGCTCCAATACCTTCGACTCTGCCCCCATGTTTTCTCCAAGGATTCGAGGAGAAATCACGGTGCTCCACCGAAGGTGGATGGTATTACGGTATCCACAACGCCTTGACATCAACATCTCCCCTTGGGTGTGTAGTCTCCCAGTTCGACCCCATGGAAGAAGGGAAATAGATCAAAACCCATTGGTTGAGGGTCCCATTGTTAGAATACGCACCTCGATATTGTAGGCAAAAGCTTGTAAGGAGGGCACGGCAACACCTTCTGTGACTGTTTGGTTTGAGTTCGCTGTGCCATATTGCAGGAACGGCAGCTATGCTGGCAATCAATCCGAGCAATTTCTTCCACAATCTATAGCGTTGGGCTTTGCTGGTGGACCGCAACAACAAGAACCATCTTGATCTTTATCGCTGCTCGCTGCAGGTGGCAGCGCCTCATTCTGCCTTCGACTTGGGCATCGTGGCCATCAAAAACAGCAAGGGCAGCGCCACCATCCTTGGGACGAGCACTCGCGAGCGCACCCCGCTGTCGGCGCACGAGCGCATCGAGCCTGAGGTATTGGCGGAATCTCGACTCAGGCGGGCTCCCAATGGCTTGGCACGACCAGTCAACCAGTAAGAAGTTACCAGGTGAAATATGCTTTCGGTTTGGGACACGGCATGTCCCATTGCCAGTAACAGTGGATGATGATGGTGATGATAATGATGATGCGCTTAGAAAAGGCCTTCCCCCAAATAGTGGTCATCTTTCACCGACTGTTGCTGGATGTTCCTGAGCATGGGATATACTGCCTATGGAAACAATCGATCAATGTTGGGTTTCAAGGAGGCTTTTCAAAGCTGCAAAAAGCCTGCGGCAGTCGTTGCTTTCACGGTGAGGATGACTTTTGTGAACGGATCCCACCTTCCCGACCTATAAAACGCACGTGCAGTTCAACTGAGGATCCCCCATCCTGCTTTTGTGCTGTGCCAGGGGCCCAACATGATTCTTGTTTCGGAGGTTCCATTGTGCGGAAGTAACATTCACGAAGTCCAAAAGGTTGTCGTAGAGGTTTCTGGTTCGTCATTGGATTGGAATAGACACTAATAAAATTCGAACTTCATAATGAATATCGTTTTCTGCCCGGCAAAGTGCCAGGAAAGGGCTGCCAGTTCATCTTTTCCTGGAGTTGGCACACATGCCCAAACAAATTCAATCAACAACAAGCTAGCAAATCTGCTGCCGGTTCAGCAAAGTTCTAAACCCATGGCAAATCATCTTACTGTGTCCAAGCCCAAGAAGAAAGCTTGGAATAGCCCAAAAACGAGAGTGCCACACGTGCGACACGCATATCTCTCTCAACGTCTCTCTACGCCCCGTACGACGTTGGGTCGCCAGGGCTCAGGCAGAAGGGCGTTTGAAAGCCCATCAAAGCGAAGCTGCCACAGCTGATGGGAACGATGAAGCCCATCACAATCTCAAAGGAACCCATGGCCTGACGCATGGCCCTGGGAGAGGCGTCTCGTCCACCCAAAAGACGAAGAACGAAAGGTCCCAGGCAAACTGGTTGATGTCCAGTGAGTAGCAAAGGATGCTCAAGCAGGTGGAAGGGAAGGTCAAAATGGCGAATCTGAACATCTGAAACAAACGGCTGTTTCGAGGATGGCGGTCTTCCAGCCTCTCAAAACTGCGAAGTTAGTGCTTTAAAAGCACTGCAATGCTAGGAGAGAACATCCCTCTATAGACACCTGTTGAAGCGCAAGGTTCATATAAACCTTGAAACACAAAAACTTGCCTAAACTGGACTACAACTAGACAAATGCCAACACATAATATTTAGATATTTTGATACCCATGGCCAATCACAAAAATGTATTTGTTTTTCCTATAACCACTTCCCAACCTTCTGAATCCAACCTACCTGCATCAGGGCAGCCATCTCTTCGCCCGAGATGACACCCTCAAAGAGCTTCCTCAGGCGCTCCCGCGCGCACTCACGCTCCCTCGCTCGTGCAAATGGTCGACGATGAAAGCCATCTGTGGAGATGGGAATTGCATGCCTATCCCAAACACCGCACATGCGGCTCAAGAAACCGGGAAAAAGTTACAGTAACAAATATGTACAAATATTCCCCAGAAGGAAAAACAAGGTCACTTATAAGCACAATCAAGTTCATGTATGGAATATTTACCTATATGCATTGCTACATGTGACAAATTACGGTTTGACATATGGGGACATGTCCATATTCACGTCAAATTAAGATGTATCGTAGATACCTGCCAAAAAGGTCTTAGATAACCACATCACCACGCCACTCCACAACCACTCCTACGCCGCTACAGCCATCGCCGTTTTCCTCTTCAACCCCGGAAACCTCTTCAAGACACCGCCGCGGACCCCAGTTTTCTTAGTGGTGCTGAGGTTCCAAAGGAGCGGTGAAGAGAGATGTCTTAGGGTGGCACCGCAGAAGTTGGCCATCATCAACGCTCGAAAGCTTTGACCTCGGGTGGATTCTGGAGGGCCATTTCGGCCACCTTTCGGCCACCTGGCCTGCCCAAACTGGAAAGCTTCGCGTTGAACCGAGCTCTTCTCTTGCTGGGTTGGATAGAACCGGGCTGCGTTCTGCACGGCTCCGTGGTCCATCGGCTTTAACAGAGCTGCCAAGAATAGGTGGAACTTGGACCCACATGAAAAAGTAGCCACATCCGAACAAAACCACTATATATACTTCATCTATACATACTGTACTATACTTTACTGTATATACCCTTCAAGTAGATGACAAACAGCTCGGAACTGATCACTCTCTTGACTTTTTACTTCGGTCTGTCACTCATCCCTGGGATGTGTGCTGTCCGCCACTCCTGCCCGCTCTACAACAAGTGTGGCAGTGCATGGCTCCTGGAAAGACTTGATTTAGCTTTAACCAAGGAGGCGTTGTCCACTTCCATGTTGGAGGGAGGGTAGATCCAGGTAGATCAAATCATTTCTCTTGACCACATCATACCCCTAACCTCCACCCATGGTACTTCGGATCTTCATTCGGAACCACCTCCAGAGAAGCCCCGAGCGAACCGCGTCGACGAACTCCGACGTCGATCGTCGGTCTCAGCGGCAATGGATCTCCATGGCGAACATCAACAAGGACAGGGCACCAAGAAGAACCTGAGGACGCGGAGAAACGCGGTGTTCAACCTGCTCGGACCGCGTTATGTTGTTCGTGACAGGACTCCATGTGTCACGGTCAGGTATCAGAGTCTAGAGGCCTGTTCAAAGGTCAACACAACACATTGTGTGGAGCATGGGGCAATTGGAACATCTCGTTCAACTAGTATTCGGCATGGAAACCCATATTGGGGTGGAAGATTGGGGTTCTTCGGCAGATCTGTTCTTCCTCCTCCATATTCTTATAGTATTTCTGAGATGCTATTCTGTGGGTCTTTGGGCCCTGGGTTTGCTGCACCTTCTTTCTTCCTCGGCTTCTTGGGGCCTCAATCTGACACTCCTTCACTTCTAAACGCCAGCTGCACCTTCCAGGGTCAAGTGATTCTGGTATTTGGCACCTGGGTCCAACACATCCAGTTTCCATTTACCCAAACAATCCATGTGACTGGCATATGGCTTCCCACCAGCTGCCGGTGGTTGAATAGGGGGTCAATGTGGGCATATACATATATATATATAATCATTTTAATATATGCCAGCACCTCCAACAGGTCACCAATTGAAACCTGTTAGGGCCTAACAACCCTTCAAAGGAGACTTGTTGGAAGGTGCTGGTACATATCATATATATATATATCCCATATGTGCATGTCAACATCCTCGCACTGGAGAGTAAGCTATTCAATGATAATTACTCAAAGCACTGTGGCAAGCGATAGAGTCTAAAACAACATGCTCATGTGTCTGTTTGTGTGCGCGCGCCCCAACCAGCAGATCCGTTTTCCAATGTCCTTGGCCAGTTCCCTTTTTTTCAAATCTGTTGGATTGTTGTTGCTGCTTGATGCTAGCATTGTTAACCGTTAAGTATTGAAAACAAAAAACAAAACACACATTTTTTCCGCAAATACACGGCATTGGCTTGCATGAGCTCATGATCTAATCTACCGCAGCATGACTCACGCCTCCCTCTTCCACCGTCCATTGACCACCCACGCCTCCATCCAAATCCCACAGTCAACCTGGTGTGGCCACGCAGCGATGAAGGAGGGATTGGCTGGTTGAGCGGCCATGACCTTGGACATGATGAATCCAACGATTCCTGGCGGCCACTTGTCGCGCGCCGGACGGAAACCAGGGTGAACCACTTGACTGACCTTGCAAACCGAATGGTGCGCATAAGGGTCAACTCATCTAATGTTCATGCTTTCACTGTCACTGGGTCACTGCACCAGGTGAAAATCATTGAAAAACCTGGCAAATCCATTAAAAATCTGACAAGAACCAGGTGTGGAAACGTGCTGGAGATGGCTGGAGGTTGGAATGAATTGAACAACCCCACGGTTTGGCGCCTGAAGGTGGGCGGTAAACGGCATAACGGTGAACACTTCGGTCAACTCTACCATGGAGATAGTAGAGTAGTAGAGTATTCTTAACTAGTCAGGCAACTATTGTCGCATTGGACTCATTGGACCATGAATTACTTTTTCCAACTCCCCCGGGCCAAACGACCGCCCGCGGCTCGAAGCGCTCCTCCAAAGGTGCCCAAAAAGTTCAGCTGCGCCCAAGCCCAGGAGTCCTGGCCATGCGGCCAGGGGGCCTTACATCGATCCTTAAAACCGGGACACGGGGAGACCCACGGGTCTCCCTGCACGTCTCTGAAAAGACAGAACGCACCGGACCAACTCCTTTCCCAAAAGCCGATTTGAGAGATCCATAGCCCTGAAAAGAGATGTCATGGGATATCGCCATGAACCACCCAACGGCGGCGTCCAGACTCTCAGTCTCCCGTGGTCTCCCGTCTGACGCTGCCGTCGGTCCATCTGAAAGCCCAAGGCGTGGTTCCGCGCGAGGACCGAGGGACTCAGCAGCGTCTCGCGGCACAAGTTCCTGGCCACCTAGGAACAAGGACGCTACGAGTAACAAAGGGCATCGCTACTAGGAGCAAAGACGCTACTAGGGGCTCCTGGCTTTACTCCTAACAAGAAGCTACTAGTAACAAGAAGAAGTCCATTTGTTCCTAGTATGACGAAGTCCAGGTGACGGAGTCCAAGCAATGGAGTCCATGGGCCCCAGAGGAGGGAAGAATGAACAACGAGAACTGGCGCCAGTGATTTTTGTCGGAGCGCGCAGACGGAGGTCTAGCCTTGCGTCACGAAACGAGAACTGGTGAAATCACTGGTCCTCGTCCAAGAGACACAGTAATTACCTATCAGTACCTAGCACATCACGCCCGAAAGCAGGCAGCACCGATCCAGCATGATCCGGGCCTTGGTGAAATACTTATATCTCCAAGATTTGGACCTTGCCATTTCATGCGAGTCCCCAAATAGATAGTGGCAAGATGTCCAATACATGTTGAGAGAGATTTTTACATGGTTGTACCGTTGTTTAACCAATCTGGGTGTCTATATCATGTGAGTCCATTGCATCTACAAGCACCACGCTTCCGCGCCGAAGTACGCGCGCATTTTTTGCCGCGCCTGAAGAAGGCAACAGGCCAAACCTTGGAGTTGCCAAACCCAGTCGGACAAAATAAACAAACAAAACCCCAACACTCCATGGGACTGCCATAGATGCCTACACCCATATTCATCTCATGGAGTGGGAAATATGCCCAAAGCGCTTGGGGGAATTTCCTTTAACATGCTTATTCCGGAGCCGAAAAAACCGAACCGAAGGGAAATCCCCGATGAGATCAGAACCCTCACCCTACATAAGCAACACCAAGAAACACAGCCGCACCTTGGAGGATTTCAAATCGCTCCACTGCCACTTTGGCGGCGGTTGGTAGCTGCTCACCTTGAGGTGTGATGGGAGCAGGATTTCAGAAGGCTCTGTTTTTTTCGGAGAGGATGGAAGCAAATGGTGCATCATGGAAAAGGTGCCAGGCGAGTACTTGCATCATCTTGCATCCCATTTCAAGAAGCTGGCAATGACCTCAAGCTGGCTGTACATGCTCCTTCCTTGGGAGCCTGTAATGCATGCAAGACTCTCGCTAGGGGTGTGTTCATATTGAAGAGGTAAGCCTTCCCTACATTCAATCTTCTCTGCTGCCTCAGCCCTTCACTGTGTTAGACAATACCATTTGCAACACATAGCTCATTTCGTTGACCCAGTGGCCAGTGATCGCAGGGGAGCTTTGCCGTGATGCTTCACCCGTCTTGATCCCTTTGCCCCGCCACTCTGGGTTTAGACAAGGATCGATTACCCCTCTACCACTGTTGATGCGACTTTGGGCTTCTGCCCCAAATAAACCCAACACCCACCGAAAGCCCTGCCCTGGGCGAACAGAGAGAGAGAGAGAGAGAGTCCTGATTCAACACCAGTATAAATATAGAAGAGTGCCACTGACTACAACTGGGCATGAGTTAACCGAAGGTGAGCTTTTGTGTGTGCTATGCCTCCCTTGCCAAACCAACATGTTTACACCAGCAGCACCTAAACAGGTAGAAATCCATCGTCCTCCGGTCACAGTAGTTGTGCATGTTTTGTTGGACAGTGGAATCCTGACAGCCTGACAACCCCTCTCAACGCCGAACTCGAGGCATGCTTCCCGTTCGAGATCCATTACTGCAATTAAAAGAACATAATAAAACTAATGATGCCAGGAGCCAGGACCCTCCTGTCGGGGTGTCTATTTATAGCCTCTTAGCTGTTAAGGGGTGTCCATTAACCTGCCCTTGGGGGTCCTGGTAGCTGGCTTGTGGTTTTGATGATTTGGTTAGGGCTGAGTTACGATGAATTAAGTTGTGGACTGCTCCAGCCTATTTGTCTGTTGACAGGTCAAAGCTATTTATAACATCTTCAGAGCTATTTCAAAAATCCTCAGAGATATTCCAAAAATCCTGTAACAGACTAGTAAAAATTGAATTGCAAATGTCCTGTCGCATTGTACGATTCTCATGTCTGGATTCCACTCTCAGGTGCTGTTCCTGGGGCAAGCTCGTTGGCTGAGAGTATTAAAACTAGCGCGTGTGGAAACAAGTAGTTTCCTTCTGTTTGTTCCCACACTCCGGTCCATCCCACACTCCAGTCTCACACGCCTCACATTGCAGCAACGTGCTTTGATTTTTCACTCAGGAGCCTTCTTCTGAGCAACTGTTATATAGACTATCACTAGACAATGCAGCTTTTAAGTAAACATGAACAGTTACAAATAAATGTCTAGTAAAAATCTATTAAAATATTGCATAATAGTTCTGGACAAATATGAAATAGCCCTGGAATAATATGACATAGTCCTGGAACAATATGAAACAGTCCTGGAAAAGTAGAAAAGTGAAGTAAATAGGCTACAGCAGGTCGTAAGAATTAAGTGTTATATATACATATATATTTATATATATTATAGAAACTAAATTATAAGTTGGTAAGTCAACAACTGTCACTGCTGCCCTCTTCTGCCATCCCATGGCTGACCATGTCACTGTGGCGAATTTGGGAATGGACATACTCCGACTCAGCAACATGGAAGGGAAGAAACATCGTAGAGAAAAGTAATCTTCCAAGAGACGGTTTTCCACTTCCATGTAAGTGTGTCAGAGGGCAATTGGATTTCTCAATCTACTCCACTTCCACCTGACCACGGCTTGAAACAGTTGAAACTTTCTGGATACCAATGTGCAAGCCCACGACCTGGGTGTCCACCCGCGTCTTCATAACACAAAACGCCATGGTGGCCGAGCTCACAAGTCCATGTGGGGCGCTGTGTTGCAAGATCTTAGAAACCTCTAAAAAACCGACCTGAACTCTTCCTTCACGCGTGCCACGAACCTCGCGCGTGCCGCGAACCGCGGCGAAAACGATGCGGATGTGGTGACTGGACTGGGCAGCTGCATCAGCAGCGGCAGTGTAGTGAGCATCACGACCAAGCCAGCGGCCTGCGAGGACGTCCGCGTCTCACGTCCGACGTTCGCTACGAGGCCTGCGATGGACGTCCGGCGTGGCCAGCTTTCTTCGTGGGCGGAAGGGCGCCCGGACACAAGTGGCCACAGAAAGGACATAGACGGACTCACATATTTAGGTTCGGGTCCGGGGTCATTCATTTTCCCAATCAAAGCATATCCCTTCTGATAATCAGATTGGACCTGGTCCAACTGCGGCTGAACAGCCGTGAGACGGCATAATTGACATGCCACTCAAGATCGAGTCTAGAGTCTAGAGTACCAAAAGTGGCTCCAGCATACAAAAGTGGCGCGTTCGTGACGTCGTCTTCCAAGCTCCCAAACATACCAAACAAACATCGACGTGCGGCGTGTGCCCTGAGCTTCTGCCCCCGGTCGATGCCAGTCCCGTCAGGTCGGTCGCCCCGGTCCGGGCGTCCTGGGATTGCCAGAGGTTGTTGAAGAACAGTGGCCCTGCCAGAAAGCCTTGGCCGAAAGGAAGCCACATTGTTGTTAATCAGCAGGTTTGGGGATTGGGGCCAGTTCCGGAAAAGAAACTAACATCCTAAGCCTATAAGCAAAAGCACGTTGAAAGACTCGCTTCAACATCCGCTGGTCTGGGGCATCTGTTATTTGTACAGGTCGTCTATGCGCAGGCAACTCCGAACTTTGGGCGTGCAACTCCCAGCCAGTCTCAGCTACTTGCGCTACAGGATGTACCAATGCTCACATACAAGACCATCCAAGACCGGATAGCCTCTTTTTCATGAAAAGAAGCATCTGCCTCCCGGGTGTCCTTCAAAGTGGCTGATGAACAAGTTCCCCAAATGCATGGGCAAATAGAGCACTGATCGATTGACATTCGCATCGACACAAGAAACATCTGCACACTGCCGACTGCTATGAATCAAGTTAGCATGTCTGTCTCTTGCGTATTCTCATAGGGCACCTAAGTCAAGGAGCTTATCGTCTCTGCAATTCTTTGCTTCTGGTGCGTGGCAATACCTTATAACTAACTTATATAATAAATAAATATCTTACATGTATATATGGGCTATCTAATTTAATCCAAATTCATTCTATCGAAAACGCAACTCCTCGCAAAATAGACAACTGCGAGATTAGAAGTCAACATATGGTAGTTGATCATAAAGGGTATGACTGACACAAGGCCTGGGTTCGTTTAAGGCCTTTTACATTGTTTGCAAAAGTATTTTCAATATCATGAAAGTAATTAGTTTTTCTGCAAACGGTCTGCAAATGATAAACATGTGTGGAAACAGAAGGCTTCTCGGATATACCCCCGCGAAAGTTAAACATGGAGTTCGCAAAAGATGCGCAAAAGCATTAATCTTCCAGCTTCCAATCAAGGACCCTACCAATCTTCAAGAACGGATTCCAAAAATGAGTGGCCCAAATACTGAGAGCCACCTTTCTCCCAGGAGAAACCTCGGTAGGCCCCCCTCGGCGAGTCTGGGACTGGCTCGCGTCCCATCGGCTGGCGGAGTTCGAGGTTTCCCTGATCTTCCAGCCCTTTTCCATGCAAAATCATGGGGGGGGAACCAGAAAGGAAACATCGAGCACACGAAAAAGAAAACATCGTGTGGTTCCAGTCCTCTTCCAGTCCTTTTCCCTTCATCGTTCATGGGGGCGGAACCACACGAAGATTCCGGGCACGTTCCGGAGCACAGAAGTTCGCTGTAAGCTTGACAAGGCACCACCGAGCACTGCGAGAAGTGGTGCCAGGAACATTTGGTTCCTCCATTCGTCCTGGAGAGTGAAGCAAGTCCACATTTCAGTGGAACCTTTGGTTCCTCCATTCCTATCATTCCTCCATGAATACCCACATGTTCCACTGAAAAAATCAGCACGGTGAGAACGTGATGTCGTCGACCTGCAGAACCATCGTTCCAATGAACGAGCCCCAGGCCTAGTTCCACAAACACTTAGTATTGGACCAACGAAAGCCGGATAGGAGGAGAGACTCCCGGATGTCTGGGGAAGGTCATGCAACAGCCTGTAAGTCTGCCTCAGGTAGGTAGCGCGAGTTGGTTGAGGTTGAGGATGTTTCAACTGCTTTGGCTCCACCCTGATTTGGACAAGCCCTGACCGGAGTGTTCCACAGTCATCATCTACAGTCCACACCTCAATGCGATTTGGGAGTACAGAGCGTGATAACCTGCCCAAAAATCCAGAGCTCCTTCCAAATATCAAGAGTCAAGAGTTGATTGACTCTTCCCCAATCCACAAACATGCCCATACGCTCGCCCTCTGTAGGTGTTCATGATCCTCCAGTGTTGCATTTGTTTACACATGTTATGTAGCTCGAAGTCCAAAGACATTCAAAGACTACGTAGCATCAATGCCTTTCCGTAGTGATGACTTAGTGATGTAGAAACACGCCCTGAACCCAAATGCTTCTTAGTTCAAACATTCCAAACTTTCCTCAGAATTAACATGAATTAATCCGATCCCTTCTCTGTTGCTCTCTGATCTACGCAAAAAAGACAAGGACTTCACCGGGTTGGTCCTTCTCCTGCGGTGTCGCCTTGAAGGAAATCATCAAATCCTGCAGGAACATCCCCACGTCCCTCGGGACCCTTGGGACCGCGGACCGTCAGCGATCCCAAGCGTGTCTACGCCCTATAGGTTGTATGGCCTAGCAACGATGGAACAACTACATAGAGATAGGACACTACAAAGCCAGGTCAAACTAGTTTTTTTTTTTTTAATCTTGGAAGGCTACGGCGGCTAGGGTGCTGAAGGAACTGGGACACTTCAAGAAGATTTCCCACACGTCCGGGGAAGACACCAGTGTTCAGCTTAGGGAAAGACTTGAGCCTCACCCCCATCCGCAAAACCTCTGGCAGCTTGGGAGTCTGACTAGGTGACCCGAGTTCAGGAATGTCCTTTTACTTCACTCCCTTCAGTCTTCAGTCGGTCCAAATATAGTCGAACTGGACTTCTATAGGCTATAGGGTGTTTTTTTTCACGTGCTTCGGTCTTATACTTGTCTCACAAGCAATATCGCGTCACCTCCGAGACAGGTCCAACATGGCCAATCCCAGACACTCCATGAGACTGCCATAGGACTGCCGATCAGGCTGGGGGTGGTGCCAAAGGGGGGTCAATGTAGGCGCATATATACATTTTTGTTCCAGTCCCATGGAGTGTATGGGGAATGATTTTGATCCCAAATTGCTCCGCGGGCCGGAGAAGACATGTGACACTTACACATGTGAAAGCTTCCTACATCTAACCCTTCCATAGGCCATCCATGGTTGCCTTGGGAGACGACATGACGAAATACCGGTGCCTTTGGAAGTGCGGGTTCCCCTCAATCAATCAACCAACATCTATGACTCCGCTCCAGCAGCTCCAGCTCCAGCCTCTCATCGTTCGGGAAACCGTTTTTTATGGACTGGGCATCCTCACCGACAAGACTGGAACTGACTGGGTCTTTGGCTTAGACGAGACACGCACCAGACCTACAAATAGCCGCTTCGCCGCTTCGCCTCGAGATACTGCATGGTCAGCTGTGCCGCGGCATTCGTGCTGGTGAAGCCCCAAATCATGACCAGGAGCGAATCCTGCTCAGTGGAGTGGAGCGCTCGCTCCGCTACTCTCCGCCAGCGAAGAACAACTTCAACCATTGGTTCAGCACGATGTTCGGATGAAAGGGGCCATCAGTTAGTGTTGTTTGGAATTTCCCTTTAAACACAACACAGAGACTC